AGCTGTTATTACAGATTTAACTTCCCATTTAAATAATTTAAATTTGAAGCTGCAAAAGGCCAACCAAACGATATCAGACTTAGTTAGTCATATCGACTCATTTCGTAGAAAATTACTATTATTCAAAAATCATTTAGAAAAAGATAGTTTTCACTTTTATCCATCTTGCCAAATTCTTTTTGAAGAATACGGCAAAGATTGTAATTTTAAAAAACAACTTCATTTAATTAATTCTTTAATAACCCAGTTTGATACGCGGTTTAATGATTTCGAACTACTTAGAAAAGATCTAATTCTTTTTGAGAATCCTCTTCTTGTTCCGATTGAAGAACAAAATGTAGAACTTCAGGCAGAACTTTGCGATTTGCAAAATGATCTGTCTCTTAAACCGCGGCCAGAAAAAGGTGTTGAATTCTTTAAGATTTTAGATTCATCAAAGTATCCCGAACTTATAAAATTTGGTCTTCGAATTTTTTCTATGTTCGGCTCTACGTATTTATGTGAATCTTCTTTCTCAAAATTAAAATATACGAAAACAGATAAACGTTGTTGTTTGAGCGATACATCATTATCTTCGTTGATGCGCTCTAGTTCATCTAATATTCCTGTAGATATTTTATCCCTTGTAAATTCACATAAACGGCTTAGAAAATCAAATTGATGTTTATGCGATTGTTCTCTTCTTTTTTTCTTTTATTTTCTCATCTTTAATATAATTTTTCCTTTCCATATATATATGTACGCGAACGGATTATTCTTCCTTAGTGGAATAGGCTTACTGGGAAAACCACTTAAAAAAAAACGCATTAACAATAGTACCTCATGGGTAATGTGGAAATCTATTGTCTCGCAATTATAATTATATTATAATTATATTGCAGTCGTTCTATATTATAATTATATATTACGAGTATATTTTTTGACATTATCGATAATATGATTTTAATGTACGCGAAAATAAATTACATATATTTTGACGTTATAAATTGATATAATTGTAAATCGGGTTAAGAGAAAACTTTGAATAAAGTATCACAAAAATATGTAAATTATATAAACGGAATATATAATTAATATATTGATTTAATAAGTTTTATCATTATATTTAGGGCTAGGGCATTTAGGCATTCTTACATGCGGACGCTCCTGAGACATAGCGTCGCGCTCCTTAGTTACGCGTATCTGGCGACTCGTTGCTAACGTACGAGCGGTGAGTGGGGGGCAATAGGCGTGAGCCACGGAATCGGGCCGAAATGTGCAAGTAAATCCCAGCACTGTTCTAAGTAGAAAAAATTTTTATTATACATTATTTAAAGGATAGCTACATGGTCATAGATATTTTGTCAACAATCAGTTTCACATATTTTTCTCGCAGTTCGTTAACAACTTTCAACATATGTAACAACCAATTTTCGAGCCTTGAAAATAGCAATGAGTTAACAGGTTTCCTTGCTAATCGAAAAGTTATTCATGAACACATTATATGTTCACAATATTTATCGGATGAGAGGTGGGGGTTCCTCCTCTGTCCATGCATGAAAGTCATAAACGGACTTTTTCAGTCTAAAACAAAAACTAACAGATTTATTACAGCGTACATACAAAAACTTCACTATCAAATTTTTATTTGTTATATATATATAAAACAATGCCGTCCCCCACTTAATTTATGCGGGGTTATTCAAAACATACACACAATCTTCCCTATGTAGCGGTGAAATCGGTGAGATGCGACTTATTACGCATATTTATCCCACATACACATACACAAACAAACGCGCGCGCACACACATGCACGTACGCATGCACACACACACACAATATCTGTACATTTAATACATTTGTAAAATAAAATAAAAGTTTTAAAAATAGATGGACAGAATCTTTCACAAAATTACAATGCAAGGAAGAATAAAAACAGGATTCAATCGCGCTGCAGTTAAATATATATCAAATACATAATATTTATTTAAGGCTTTTTAATCTGTATATTTACATATACATATATCATTATTACATGTATGTATTTGTAATCGTCTATGTATACGGTTAGATGAGAAACCAAAAAAAAAATAAAAATTATTACAACATTCTTGCGTTTTGCTTATATGTATTTCGTCAAAAGATTTTTAAAGATTAATTATATTTTGTTATTTAGCGTTTTTAGATTTTCTAATACAGAACTACTAAATCATTTGAAGTTTGTCGGGCCAAATGGATCTTATATAAATATATATTATACTAACTATATACAGGGTGAATCACTAAAGGTGTTACAGGCTAATATTTCTGAAACTGAACAAGATATGAAATTCTTATTTTAAAATCATTAATTTCGCATGTTAACTGCAGTGCAAAGTTCCATTCTTGCGTCGAATGCCTGCTTCGATATCAAACAGTCGTTGAAAAATAAGAATTTCATATCTTGTTTAGTTTCAGAAATATTAGCCTGATTAGTGATCCATCTTATATATATAGACCGCTAACAGCGATGCTAAAGGCTAAAGGTAATGCCATAGACATAGTATATCCACGAAACAGAGTATGTCCTTTTCTACGTGTATCTTTACCCCCACTCCTTAAATAAAGGCAAACGCTCGGTCTAGATATACTATGTCTATGGGTAATGCAAAGGCAGCCATTTTCTGGATGGGTAGAATATATATGTTGGGCGGTAAAATGTTCACATTACAAATTCTATCATATTTATTTAGAATCCAATTTTATCTTTTATCGTATTATTCAACCAGACTGTTGACACTTTTGAAGGAAAAACTGCAATATTTCATATAAAAGTTTCTAATTTATAAATATTTGATGCATATTTAATAACACATAAAAATATCTAGTTTCTAGTCAAAAATTATATTTCTCTTGACAAAAAAGGCCAGTCCAATATAAAAAAATATATATATAAGAGAAAACGATTGTGTGCTCTTATTAAAAAAAAAAAAATGGTATTTCTTCCTTTAGATAGAATATTTACTTGGGTAGTCAAGTATGCTACACGTCATTGGTATATTTCTTATTTTTATATTTGCACTATATATACACTTGATATTTTGCACTATCTTAATTTTTCTTTAAAATATACGTTCATTATTACATTATGAAAAGACAGTATTCATATCAAATACAGATTCATATCGAATTCTGCAACACCCGGTATGACATTCTACCCACCCAGAAAATAAATGCTTTTGCATCATATTTCACCACTTAGCCGTATTAACGGTATAGTATAATATAGAAATCTGTAATCGTGACTTTTATTTTACAGAGTTTCTATTCGGAGTTGTTCTGTCACTCCTGTCAATTCTTAAATAATACTTAAGGCTTTAATCTATTTGTAATATTATTATATTTATATATTTAGAATCGCCTATAAAATTAGACAAAAAGATAGAAAATAAAAAATATTATACGTATTATTTGATAAACTTTTCGCCTATGTATACGATAATTAGATCAGGAAATAAAAAATAAAAAGCATTACAAGTATTACAGACTTACAAATTCATTATACATCCTGTGTTTTCATCAATCACTCTTAATTAAAAACTGTTGTAGAAAGAATTTAATTTATGCAAACATGTCTTCTCGATCAGCCCCGACGCCTTCACCGTCTTCCAAACTCGAGAAGTTGAGAAAATGAGCAGGCCTGTGCACTTCATGATAAAATTCTTTTGGATTCGCTAGTTGTAGCTCGTATTTCATGTTGGGATCATGCCTTACACCCATAAAATTGTAATTCCATGAACCTTGGCTGGGCACCATAAAAAAGCCAAGGAAACGATCGGACAAAAGCATCTGTACCTTTTCGTAATGGCTAGGTAAATAACCCTTCGGATTGTTTCCCTTATCAGTGTTCTGCTTGCCCCACTCAAATCCACTCGGAGTCAACTTGTATGCTGTAAGAGAGCAAGAACCGGGTGTGAAACTGCAAGTGATAACGATAGTCTTTTCACCGTCCCAGATGGAATTCTCTGCCATAATCCGGGCGTGAGTAGATATGTCCTGCGGTGACAGTTGCGGCAGCTCGTTGGGCTGCGTATGTATCCATCCCAATGGTTCCATCTCCTTCAAGTATTGATGATTAGGTAACGTGTTTGGTAGATGAACAGTTTGATGAGTTCCCCATTGTGGTGCCATTACAATGCATCTGATTTCTTTCACCTATTACATATACAAAGCAAAATTCGATCAATTAAGACAAAAGAATCAATATGAAAGTATGTATGTATACATGTATGTATATGTATGTATATACATATGTATGTATGTATGTATATACATATACATATATATAAAATTTTGACACACATATATCTCTTAGGGGGAGGGGCGAGAGAGGGGGAGGGGAGCGGCGGTGGGCGAGAGAGGTGGCTGGGAGGGAGGGAAGAAAGGGGGAGAGAAAGAGAGAAGAATTAGTATATACATTATGGATCCTCTTTCTAAAGTGGACCTTTACATACTATTTTCGTTTTCAAAACGTAATATATTTCTTTTCTCAAATTTAAATGTGTAAAATATCGTAAATCCTTAATAAATATGTATTAGGTAAAATTTCATAAAAAATATCTAAAATTTATTCTTCCCCAAAAAGATTCTAAGAATACTTTTTTTCGAACAAGAACTCTTATGCTTAAAAAAACGATTAATGCGTTTCAAGATAAAATTGCTTTTTAAAAATAGAGATAACTAAATCATCTATTATCATAGAGATAATAAAATCAAAAAAGTTTAAAGGATAAACGATATTAAAATATATTATTTCTCAATTTTGAGATAATTTTAATAAACAAAAATAGTAAAATTATTTTACCTGAGGATTATCAGGAGAGCTGATACCGTATAGATAGCCGGCTATCTGCGCTCGCAGATCGGAAATAGTAACAAATTTCTTGAGTACATTCTTCGGCAAAATGTAAGTATAGCCAGTTTCTTTGATGTCATCAGACGAGACGTAGATATGATTTGTTCGGAGATGAAGATTAGTTGCTGAAATGGCACGTACTCGCCATTCAGTCTTTGAACTGAAAGTCTGTGTCTCGTAGTTGGACGTGGTCGCAGTAATCTCGTCGCCATGCTTGTTTACTGTTCGTGTGGTAGTGGCGGTAAGCTGACTCTGCTCTTTAGTTTGCTTCTCGATTTCAGCGATTTGTTGACGTTGCGCGGACGGCGCACTTATCTCCATACCCAGAATGATATCGTGGATTTCGGATTGCGTGAGTGACGCAACATTGACATTATTCTTCTTACCGTAATCCGCCAAGATCAGATCCTTCAGCTGCACTTCCACCTTGATCCACTCATCGTCCGTCAGCGATGGCCATATGTGATGTGATTCGGTAATGGTGGTTTTATCGGGCTTTAATACAACTTTCGTTCTTTCGGTGTTGACGTGTAGAGCCCGTAAAATCAGAATCAATCGTGAGAATGCGGTGTAAGACGAGATGGTCTTCAACCAGTCATCGTAAAGATTGAATAGTACCATTTGCGGCTCGGTTGCCTTCAAGATCATATCGCCGAACTTCTCCACCTTGAGACATGCCTGGAACGGTAACTGCAATTCAGATCCTTTAATGACTATATTAGGAAAATCCAACAAGTGCACTTCTAGCGGATCTAACATTCCTTTTCTGGTAACGATAATCTGCTTTGGCTGTTCCTCCACTGGTAGAGAGCGAATCAGCGCAGCGACTTCCTCGGCGGTCTTCCACTTGGCTAATTGACCGAGACGCTTCTGGCCCGCCCAGACGGAGGTATGAATAATTTTCAGAAACAATTGTCCCGTGCGCGGATTGAAGATGAAAATTGCGCCATTGATTGGCTTTGTCGTCAAGTTGCCCTCAAAGGTTTTGTGAATCGTCACGCGATATACGTTTGTGTCATCAACAAACCATATAATTTGATTGGAGAAGAGTTCACCGTAATTTTGCGAAGAAAGATAAGGTTCAGTGGGTTCAGACGAGTATAGTTGCAAGGCTTTACGTATGCGTTCGCGTAATACGTATAAAGCAGGATTTGCTTTCATAATTTTTGCCATAGCTTGCTGTATGAGTGGCTTGCAGCCAGGAAACCAATTACCATATGCACTGTGCAAATTATATGCCAGGTCGATAGCTATCAGAAGACCGGTGGGCGATGGGTATATCGACATGTTATCTGTCGTATAGTCCAAGAATTTAGCACGAGCGTATCGTTCGATGTCATGTGAGTCATAATCGCCCCATCTCAGTTGAACATCGATCCAATATTTCTGTGTAGTGGTGTTGTCCATCACATCTTTCGAATCAGCAAGGAGTGATGGTCGGGATACGGTCCATTTATAAGCGGAAAACAAAAGGATGTCAGCACATGAGGAGTTCATCTTGTAGGACTTTCGCGGATGTATTGTTTCCTTCTGTACGGTCTCAATTTCCAATGCGTCTAATTCTTGATCAAACACCTGGCAAAGATCCATCACGATAGATTCATGCACCTTTTGCCACAAATGAGCGCGAAATATTTGAATTAAGGATATTTTTAGAGTCGGTATTTTACCATGCATAAATATTCCTGTCAGATCGAGTTGTACTTGAAAACCAACGTAAACGTTTGCACGATTAATAGTAGGCGACCACCACAGTGTAAATCGACGGTTGGGAATTTGATTGAGACCAGAACGTTGCGCATTTGTCAATTTCTTGTATTTCATGGACTCCTCAAAGCCGGAAGCCTTTTCCCAGAAGAGACCCTCCCATGTCGGGAAGTAGGTGCCTTTGAAAAGAGTGTGCTCAAGAATGCCTTCGACGCCGCCTAGCGCCTGAATCATATCAGTTCGATAGTTATTTAGGTTCCATAATTTTCCGTCGTGACGCTGATGAGTCCACCAAAACGGATTTTGCTTCAGCACCTGATATTGTTTGAATTCTGTACGAATACGCCAACCCTTGTCATAGGCCAGTGTGTGCCGATCTTTCTGGAATAATGTATTTATCCTAGGGATACCACGATCCCAGCTGTCCTCAAGATCTTCCAAAATAAGCCTGCGATTCTGAGCATTGGCCTCTTGTCGTTTCAGGGCATATTCTGCCCAAACACGTTGAGAATCGATAAATTCTGATTCCCAGGGCTGTATGTAGCGATATAAGTTAGGAATCAATTGATCCTCGTCGTGACTCATACCTGAACGAAAGTGAGTAATGCCTACATCAGTTTGTTTCGACCACCTCAAGTCCGACTGAGGTATCAACACATGACCCATCGACAGCATTCCCAGACCACCCAATTCCTTAAGAGTATAAAAGACGACGGGTGGGAAACGCGACGGCATTTTGGAGTTTAATCCAATCTTGATACGCGTCTGAATCTTGTTCTCACATTTGACCAAAAGATCCAACAACTCTTGCGTATTCACCACGGCTTCTCTAAAATAAGTCATCAGACCAATCAAAGCGGTGTTCCATTTGTTCACGATTTTCGTGAATGTGGTCGAGCCTGAAGCCATTAAAATCTGCCTGACATGATTGTGAAAACGCTGCAAGCTCTCGTCGTCGACACGCAAGAAACATTGCGCGGTTCTTTCCTTCGTGATCTCGTTCTGAAGATTCCAAACGCCGTCTCGGTGCGTAAACTCCTCATGAGTCGTTCTGCATTTGGGCAAAATTCTGCACTCGAAACCGCTCATATTAAAGAGCAAATTGGGATTATCCTTACTATAAACACTAACAAAATTGTTCTCCCACTGGATAGTGGTAGAACGTGGAAGTCGGTTCTTGATATCCCAGAATACGGCGCGACCCAGGTTCACATCGTGCTTCATTAATCTCATACGGGCGTCTCGCGGCCAACACTTTTTATTATTGTAGCCAACAATATTTTCGTTATTTGGATCGGGATGTTCAGTGAGATAACGCTGAATGAAGTCTCTCGCCTCATCAGCGGAAAAGCGCAGAAATAGATGTATCCTATCGACATAACGGCAGTATAATCGAATAGGATGCGCTGTCTCAGAGGCAACATCTTGAAACGTAAGGAAGTCGTTTGGCATTTGCGGCGGACCGGCCATTTCACTGGCTCGCTGAAGACCCAACACCAGCAGGTCCAACACTAGTCCGTAATATTGGGCGATAAAAGATGCGAATTGCAATCCTCGAATAATGCCATAGCTATTAGTGTGATTCATGTCTTTATAATTGATGACAACATTATTCTTTGCCGTCATATAATCGGCAATGTTATGATCGACTATTAAACGTAACAGCCTGTTGAGTAACGTGAGATCGATTTTTTCGTACAGCTTCTCAAATTTCGATTCTAGCAGCACATTACACTCGCCCTCGCTAACATCCCAAACATCCTGGAGATTATTGATACCTTGACACCACTTGTAAACAAGGAGCGGCGGTGGTTCCGTGTCAGCTGGTTTCACCCACGGTGGGAACAGTCGCCTTTTGTCTGCCTCGTACCACAAATACTGATCTAGGTAGGCATCCGTAATTTTCTCCAATGGCTTCACGTCATACACGGGAATCAAGTGACTGTAAAGATCCATAAATTCGATGCCAACTTCTTTAAAAGCTCTCTGTGTTAGCAAATGTCGCTTGATTCTGGACAATGCCTCGTGTGGATTATCGTATGCTTGTTCTATTAAGCCCAGTTCTTCTCGTTGACTTTGATTCAGCCTAGATTTAACGCTATAAGCCTCCTTCAAGCGTTCCAGGGCTAATATCAACAGTTTCGTATCATGTTTGTAAGATAATGGCGGAAAGGGTATTGGCGCGAATCTTCGAGATTCTAGCCAATGAACTGAAGTTGTAAATATGGCTACAGCTTCCTCCGGCGATATATATGGACCATCCTTCAAGTAATTGTGTTGTCGTTCCTGCTCGGCTTTCAAATAGAGACGCGCAAGGTTCTTTTTACACACGGTTTTGTCCACCGTAGCTCCACGTCGAATTCTCTCTCGATTGTAATGAGCTGTATTCGTCCACCAGTCGGCCTTCATCTTGATATAACGCAGTATCATGTTTTCGATCGGAATCGGCAAACCCGGCACTTTCCACGGAATATTCGCTTTCCAACAGCGCCAAGCTTCGCTCAAATGCTGAAGAATTGTCCGCGCCTTGTTCTGCTTTATTCCCTCAGGCATCATATCAACTATATCGTGCATAACAGACGCCCGTAATTCGAGATCAAAGTGTGATTCAACTCGCTGCTTCGTTACAGTCTTCGCTACGCCCTTCGAATGACGGCCCTCGAATTGTCTCGACAATAAGTTACCCAGCCATCTTTCCAATAACGGAGTGATGCCTAGATTAGTTGCTGAAATGGCACGTACTCGCCATTCAGTCTTTGAACTGAAAGTCTGTGTCTCGTAGTTGGACGTGGTCGCAGTGATAATCTCGTCGCCATGCTTGTTCACTGTTCGTGTGGTAGTGGCGGTAAGCTGACTCTGCTCTTTAGTTTGCTTCTCGATTTCAGCGATTTGTTGACGTTGCGCGGACGGCGCACTTATCGGAATCGGCAAACCCGGCACTTTCCACGGAATATTCGCTTTCCAACAGCGCCAAGCTTCGCTCAAATGCTGAAGAATTGTCCGCGCCTTGTTCTGCTTTATTCCCTCAGGCATCATATCAACTATATCGTGCATAACAGACGCCCGTAATTCGAGATCAAAGTGTGATTCAACTCGCTGCTTCGTTACAGTCTTCGCTACGCCCTTCGAATGACGGCCCTCGAATTGTCTCGACAATAAGTTACCCAGCCATCTTTCCAATAACGGAGTGATGCCTCTCATAAAGAATAACCAAACGCGCCAGCCGGGTGCCCAAAAGCCACAGCCAGGTCCTTTACCAACTGGTCCGGTGTTAAAACGATAATAAATTAGGTGCTTCAAGTCTTTACACATCCTGATCTGTCGCATCAATTTGTACTTATATCGATACATGCCGGTCAATTGATCAACGTGTGCGAAAATATATTGCAGCCCATCGGCGAGTTGAAAGGCATCCACGTTGTTCAGCCGGTACTGAACGTGAGAATCGATAATGAGTTTAGTTAAGCGAAGAATTTCGCGACACAAATGGAAGGCGTTACCAAAGCGCGATTTCTTCCTCTCTTTTGTTGTAAGCGTTTTGACAGGTTTCAAGTTAAAATTGTAATCCAAATGAAGATAGTTGAGATTCTTCCGATGTATTAGTAGATTCAACATGTTATATCCTTGACGACACACCTGCAGACCGGCTTCTACCCAATCTATTGTCGTTGTCTGAAAGAACTTGGTCGATTTAAAAGAGCGGAACAAGTAACGTTTCTTTTGTGGTTTTGGTGGTCTGTGCTTCAAAGCGTTCAGAACGAAGTATTTCAGTAGTTTCTGATAACTGACTCGCACTTTTACAGGTTGACCAGGTGGACAGTGCTCTCTGTACCATGACTTGACTAAGGGAATATCAATGGCTCTTCTTGTTCTACCGGAACGTGTATTAAACGGCCGCGGCGCCCACAAAAGGGCTATTCCATTCGCTGTATTATCAGTATAAAGAGGTATTTCCTGAAGGAATGGTTGCACTTCGCCAGGTAGAATAAAGTCTTCATCATCTTCGATTTGTGGTTCCATCGTCTATATAATAATAATTGAATATTATATAAAATTATGGTACTAATTATTTTATTTAATAATTGCAAATTTACCTTTAGCGAATTTCTATGAGAAATTGGATTGATTAACGGATCAAAATAAAATGCAGGCAAATCTGGATCTTCAGTCTTTATATATACGACATTTGGAGCATGATACCTGTAAAATGTATATGCATAAATTATAATGCATAATATGAAAAAATAATATACAAAAATATTTTATTTTAAAAAATAGTAGAAATTATTGTATGTGATATCAGCAGTATCTTTTTATAATCTTTATAAAAGAACAAATAACAATCACTAAATTTGCTTTACCACACTGCTAGGAAGATCATTTTATATTGATAAACAGATCTTAAAACTAGTGTGGAAATAAATTTAATAATAAAAATTTAACTAGATATAGCGACTTACCATGAAAGATGAACAAAATGTGGCATATTATTGTATAAGTAAGGAAACGCAATCCTATATTCTGTCCTAATAGGTTGCCTGATAATAATCTTATTTATGTCATTGAATTCATTCCAATCTTCATCAGCAGCATTTGAATCTTTTACCAGTGGCTCGAATTTTGGTCCTCCAGGAATAGCCATATTTAAGGCTTTTGCAGTAAAGAATGACTTGGGATCAAACAGATAAAAAAAATTTTGATCCACTAAGTCAGTCAACAATTGATTAGCCAAACGATACAAAGTAGCCATTTGCGGTAATGTCAGATTCCATCTCCGGTATGTAGATCCGTTAACATGTCTGGAATATGTTTTATCATTTTAATTTTATTATATATGCAATGGATAAATGATATTCTCAAGAATATTCTTTCAGTATAGCATTTTGTCCAACTGAATAACTTATATCATTTTAATGATATCCAGTGATTCAAGTTGTCAACTCACATATATAGTTGATTTCAGGACCCCTACGCTTTTCATCATTAAAAAACAAATGGGTTAATATAATGTGCCAATAAATAAGTATAGGAACAATCCTTTTTTTTCTGTTATAATTATTCATGTATATATGCCAATATATATATTAACTTACTTTGTCCCAACTAATGGCTTGTGCTCATAAAACCATGATGCAACCGACTCATCTTCTTCCGAATCAAGTTCGATTTGTATAGCCTCTAAAGGTTCAACATCCAAAACATTATCCGCATAATCTAGAGGAGGCTCTTCATCATCAAAAGGTGGAAATCTCATTCTCTTGAAATGTCTGCGATCTCTTTTTTCTCGTCTCATCATAATCCACATAGTGCTGAGAAGAAAAAATGACACTTTTAATGTAATTTATACCATTAAATAAAAAGATTTCATGCCTGCGCAAGGTTTCTTACCCCCACTGAGCTATATACACAGGTTCTATAACCCAAGGTATTTCATTGACAAATGTAATGGCTCCAGTAATATGATACAAGACCTTTACATCTCTTATTTGTTCCCATGGCATAGGCATATTTTCCAATAGTTTCATAACAGCATGTGGCATGTACTTTAACGCCCTATAACAAATACATTTACAGAAATTTTAATTATATATAGTTTTTAACAATAACTTACCCCAAATAAACACGTTTATCGTGTCTGTATTTTCTACTACTCATATCACCATGATCTCTAATGATTTTTCTTATATGTTCAGCTGGCATATCTTCTTTTTGGGCATCTACAAAGCCAAACTTCCTCTTTTCTGCGAAACGCTTTGACTGCAACTGCTGCCATTTTTGTGCTAGGACAATTAATATTGTTATAGTAAAGAAACTATATACAGAATATTTAAAAAAAGAGTTCAAGATTTAAAGGACAAATAATACTCATCAAATGAAGGAAAAAGTCCTAATAAACATGAGTCAAAAAATTAATATTGTCAGAGTTATAAACAATTTTTCATTTTGGTTAAAGTAAATGTCTTACTCTTCTGATACTCTCGCGCAGCATGAAAAGAAACATTATGACGAATTACATCAAAGAGTATAAAATGTCTGTCAAATAGTTAAAACAATGCTGGAAATTTTTTAAAGATTTCGCAATTCTGTGATATGAAGATATAAAACATGTGTGGGAATGGAAGGACATGTAGAAAACCTTCTGTAAACTTTGGAGTTTAAAGAATTCTTTTTTCTTCTTTTGGAAAAAGAAATTCTTCTTTTGGATGAAGAAATGGTAAGATAATCCATTGTTGACGAATTATTCATAACTCCAACAATATTAATTTTTCGACCAATGTTTATTAGAATTTTTTTCTCCATTTTGTGAATACTATCTGCCCTTAAAGTTCTGAACCCTTTTTTTTTAACATCCTGTATATAAATAATATTGTTAATTATTTACAAAAATTACCTTTTTCTTGAAGTTTGTCCTCAGACAGGACTTCCGGTTGTTTAGGAATCTGAGGCAATGGCGGGCCAGCTATAGCCTGCATGTGAGCATGATGAGCGGCTTGTGCATGAGCCGCAGCCTGAGCGTGCGCTTGGGCAGCTGCCAATTGAACTTGTTGCTGGGCCATCATTGTGGCCCATGGGTTTGGACCCAGCAAATATGGTGGGATAGACATGACTTCAAATTGTTTTTAAGAGCTAAAATGCAAAATAACAATATATAAAACTCAAAAAGTTGTTTACAATGTAGATACGATAGGTATCTCGACATATTTCTTTTTTATATAAAACGGACTTATAATAGAATAGAAATAGAATATAATAGAATATAATAGAATATTTTAGATTAATTCTTAACCCCTTAAAAGATAACATGGATCAATTATTTTCAATATATATAT